ATACCATAGTGAAATCGCTATTTGTTAATACTAGATTTTATTGTTTTGCTTACATCAGCTGAACCTATGTACAGATGTACTATACGTTAAAAGTTTACAGCATATTTCAGCCCTTCGATCATCATCAGGTGTTGTACAAACCAATGAAGAGAAAAGAGCAGACAAGTCAAAGGTGCATGTACAATGCCCGATGAAGATCGAAAAGCTGAAACATGTCTAACTGTACATAATATGGCATGTAGTCCCATTGCTAGGCAACGACCGCGAAGTACACAAGTGTACAACGGCCGTTACTAGGAAGCCCCCTGCAAACAGCAACAACGGAACAGTGTTTTCTGTGCAGTCCGTGTCGAGATGTTATAAGCAGGACAAGTTGGTGGATAGTCAGTCACTGAGATGGTTAGTCTGATAGCTGCTGTGGCTCAGCTGTGGTGAGCTGTTGATGTGAGGAGCCAGGGGACAGTTCAGGAACCCAGAGGAAGGGGAAGATCCGCCGTTGGAAGCCGCTACCAAGTAAAGGCAGTGAAGACGTGACTGTGCGCGCTGTGTCCAATCAATCCGAAACCGGTGTATAGTCACGCTCAAATCGTGACAATATATTGTGCTAAGGGGAGCAAATAAATATACTGTATACTACAACACAACGTGACTGTATGAAACGATATTTCTTTTTAATTGTTTTTTGTTTTATTTTAAAGCAGGTAATGCATGGGGCTGAAACTTGGACACTTAGGGCATTAGATCAGAAACACCTGGAAAGCTTCGAAATGTGGTGTTGGAGAAGGATGGAGAAGATCAGTTGGACCGATTATGTGAGAAATGAAGAAGTGTTATTTAGAGTCAGTGAGCAGAGGAATATCCTACACGAAATAAGAAAACGGAAGGCTAATTGGATTGGTCATATCTTACGCGGTAACTGCCTTCTAAAAGAAGTTATTGAAGGAAAGATAGAGGGGCGGATAGAAGTGACCAGAAGACGAGGATGAAGACGTAAGAAGATGCTGGATGACCTTGGGGGACAGAAGAGGATATTTTCATTTGAAGGAGAAAGCTCTAGATCGCATCAAGTGGAGGAACTGTTTTGGAAGAGACTGTGGACCTGTCGTCTTGACAGATTACTGATGAATGAATGAATACATATAGGCCTACACTGGCATGGCCAGAATATTTTCCGCAAGGGAGGAAAGTCTGTCTTGCAAGAGACAGCCAGAAAATTTTCTTATAGACTTACGTTTAAACCGGTCGCCGTATGAGTCCTCAGGATAAAAGCACAATTGAAACAAGAAGTTCTGGTAAGAAATAACAGCATTCTTGCCTTTCGCTACGTACTGAGTATGTGATACTACACGAGCCGGCGGGAGAATATCGTGTCCAATAGCTCTATTGTTGCATGTATATTCGTTGCCGCGGGAAGTTCACCGAGCCGTTGCGTAGCAAGGTTGCTGCATAAGCCTCCTTTTATTTTTATTTATTCTTCAAAATAAAAAAAAAATTAACGAATATGCTTTTAGTTTTATTTGTAATGTATGGTAAATTTCCTCCCATTCTTCGATTTGGATCCTTTCCCCCCCAAGAATCCGGCAGAGTGCTGGTGCGTGGTATTTCCTCGCTACTTTGCCCATTCTCATATACGTGTAATTACAACTTTAATTTTGAACGTTAATCTGTTTCTTGTTGCCTCCAAATTGCCGAACTTCAAGTCACATGCTTTGAGGAGCCTGTAGGGTATTTCCTGCTGCAAATTGCACGCAGTGCTGGCAAGGTTGTTAAGGACAACACGTATGATGTAGCTCAACATCATTTCTGTTTCCTGCCCTGACGTCACGACCATTCTCGGATTTTCCCGTATAAATGCATTCTGTTATGTAAGGCGAGGCCCACTTACCTTCCAGATAAGTCGCTTTGGTGAGATGGTTATGTCTTCTACGTTTGGATAGGCGCTTTTGCAGTCCTGACGAGTGCCATGGACTTTGCGTCGTCTCTCCGTGCCCATAAAATAACTCGTGAAGCGCTGGATGGATATTCATTAAATTTGATATCGGATAATTTTACGAAAAATTGTCGACCAATTTTAATACTAATTTATTCGGACAGTTTTAATATCTACATGAAGACCTCCTACGCGTGTCTCCCGAGAGTATCTCTTTAAATATACATCCGTGAGAACGTGAGTTGCATAGGAGAGTACGATATGGAATTTTTGCCCTGTACACATTTCCCGTAAGTTTTCGAGGTAATGAAACAAAATTGGTGATATGCTTTATTTCCACACTTATGCAGTCAAGAATGACCAGTCTCCTGAATGTTCACAAGAAAACAGAGACTCCGATTGTTACAGTAAAACCACATTTAAGAGAGAAAGCGATAGAGTCAGGATTGGGATTGGACTCGATCAGGATATCTTAGTCGGTATAGAGACGGACTGAGGGGCTAGACGGACGCTGCTCGATTCCCGGCAGGGTGCAAGCGATTTTTCTCTTTTCCACAGTGTCCAAACCAGGCCTGGGGCCCACTCGTCCTCCTACCCAGTGGGTATTGGGGGTTCTTTCCCCAGGAGTAAAGCGGCAAGTGTGTGAAGCTGACAACTCACCTCCCTAGTGCTGAGGTTAAGAATGGTGGAGCTATAACTTCACTCCCCCACACATCTTCATGGCGTGGTGTTTAATTAATTAAGCACAGGGAAAACTTACCTTTACCTTGGCTGAAATTAGTTTTGGTTCATAAATTAATCAGTTTATATGTATAATACATACACACACACAAATATATATATATATATATATATATATATATTACCACAGTCGATAAGTTCGTGGAATGGCCGCAAAGCGTCATACGGGAATTTACTGTAAGTATGTTTCAGCAATGTTTTCGACAGCTATATCAACGTTGGCAAACTTGCATAGCGGCCAACGGCAACTATTTTGAGGGCTGATGTGGTTTTGTGTAAGTGTATATGAATACCTTGTAATATGATGCGATAAAACCACATTCCACGAACTTAATGACTCTACCACGTATATATTTTACTTGTCAGTGTACAGTGATTAATGAACTGCTGTTACGAAATCATGGAATATCATGGATATCTTTTTTACTTTTACTAGTAATGCACAGGCGTAAATTCACGTGACTTCTTCCACTGGCAAGCCGTCAATTGGCTCCTCCATCACTTTCAATATGATCTTCTCTTGTTGCTCCCACTGACAGGCTTTGAAGTCTCCTTTGTGCCACTTCAGTTTACCTTTCATCTGCCTTAAATAATGTCCAGCATATACTACCATGTGCCACACGCACAGCTTATTGCATCCACTTTGATTTGATAATCATAAAAATATATGATGAAAAGTACGAATTATGGGGCTCCCCATTCTCCTATCACCTCCTCCCACTTAAATCCTAATATTCCCTCATCAATCTTAGAATTGATTTATTTTCATATAAATAATGTTAACTCCACAAAGTGGGAAAATATATTTTTAATGAATAAATAATTTTGTCAGTGCATTTGATGGTGCTGATATTATTTATATTCTCCTCAGCACACTATTCTAAAATATTCCAAATCTCTGTTCTTCCATTAACACGAGGGACAGAATCTTGCACCCATGTAAACAACATATAGATATCAGTTTTATGTCTAGAAACATAAAGATTAAAACCTACAAAAGCGTTACAACTACAGGGAAGGAAATGCCACTACCAGAATTGTGGTTAAGTTTACCTTTATTTTAAATTTATGTTTTAAATGAACCGAGGCAGCCTAGTGTTATGCTGTGGCCTGGACTGCCAGGGTTTCATTACCTAAACCACCTTTGGGGGCCTGCTGAACCTTCTTTTGTATAGGTGTCCATGTTTACCTGGGAGAAAAGTGGTCAAAGTATAAAGCTGACCATTTGCCTCCATTTAATGCTGAAATTAATAAAAATGCATGAATATTAGCTCTACTCCATCGCATATGTTCATTGTATGGCTAAAATTTTGTGTATGATTTAAGGTCATCAAAACTGTGAATCTGAAGATTATGGTGTTCTGGAATATTATTCCGTGTAATTTGATACCCTAATGAGTTAGGAATCACAGGGACATTGGCAAACCCATAGCCACTCTGCCTTTCTGTTTGTAGAATTTGTCAGAAAGACAAGAAGGAAGAAGTCAAGACATGGAGGAAACGTCTTGTGATGTCCTCTTCAAAGTACCAGCTCAGGAGGTTGAAGACCTTCCTAATCATTACCTTATTGAAAAGTAAATGAATAACATAACTGATGAACACATCCTGATGATCTGAAAATTGTAGAAGGTTTGAAGAAATCTGTTGAAGTTCCTCACATAATGCAGGGAGTGATCCTGGAATGTCTTGAGCAGGGCACATCTGATCATGATTCTTCCTTTTCGTTTTCAGGAGTAAAAAACCTAGGGGTTTTCAGATCTTGTGGTCATAGATTTTTGGTGAACTCAAAAAGTGAATAGTTCTTGAGGACAAAAACATCTTATATTTCATGGATTCTGTGAAGGCGTGACCAATTTCCTGTACACGAAGCCCTCCAGAAATGTACGAAACTAGATGGCTTTCAGATTCTAGAAGTCTGTGATCTTAAAAGTTGTATAATTTTTATTATTGGATTTGACCGCTAACAGTGGTGACTATCAATAGCAGTATCCTTTTGGATGTCATGTCTGTAAATATGTAGAAGTCCATTGACATTTCGGAGGAATGTACAGCCTTCATCCTTAGAGTCTAAGAGTAATCAAAGCAAGCAGAATGTGCTTTGCTTCGATCTGAACCAGGTTTTATCTACTTGCTCTTCCTTTTTGCTGGTTACATGTTTGGCTTACTCTGTGATCATGAAGATGAAGGCAGTACTTCAATCCTAAACTTCAGTGAACTTTACAGGAGTATGTGATGTCACACCCAAGAGACAGTTTGCTAGCTATAAAAACCCAGTAAAGTTTTTGTAACCATAAACCAGTCAGTTGATTACAACATTTTTGTGCCCTAGGTTCTACACAATTGTGGCACCACGAGTCTTGAGGCCAAACTCTGAGTATCATGTAGCAATAACAACACAGAAGACGTCACAGCCGACCACTGTGACCGTTGGAGTTGGAGGGAATCAACATGGAGGAGGAACGTTTCAAGCTTCCCAGACAGTGACAGTTTCACCATATACTACACATATTGTCAAGCTAGAGGTAAGAAAACATTTTGGAACAGAGAATAATGAATTTGAGCACTGGCAGGAGGGAAAGTCAGGCATCTGCCTGAAAATTGGTGATAAAAAGTAAAATGAATGTGCAAAATATTAATATAAAGGATACTTGGAACACATTTTGTGGCACCATCCATGTTTCAGAACACGGATCCACAGTTCCAGGATGATCTGCAAAAAAGTGTTGAACATCTTAAATATAAGTTCGCAAGGAAATTTTATGACTACCACTACAATGAAAAAATTCTGGCTCTAGCTGCCTCCTTTCCCTTGGAAGAAATCCTAGTGATTATAGTCAAATGTATATATTCTTAACTGCTTGTACATAAAAGGGGTTAATGTCTGAACAACCCCAAATATTGCACAAAATTTTAATAATAGTAATTACAAATAATATTACAGTTCTCACATGAAGCACAATGTGACAAATGAGTGTAGGCATTTATCACCTTTTCTGAAGGAATAAAGGGCATCCCTGTAAGAGGCTGTGGAGGCCCATAGGGTTGTGAGACGTCGAGGCTCCCACATTTTCTAGACAAAAGCCTCACAGTTGGCTTTGAGGTCAGCCTTACATGCCAGTCGCTCTTTACCCCCAGGAAGATTCCTGGTACTCATTTCTGTTAGAGGTGGAATCAACTCCAGGGCCATAGTGCAGCTGAAAGAATTAGGTAAATTGAAAAAATCCGGGGTCCTCATCAAGAATTGAACCCATGACCTGGCTTACAGCATAGTGCATCAACCAACTATGCTACTGCTTACCCCCATAAAGCACATAACCAACAGTAAAAAATAGGAAAGGTGCACATATTTAATGTTTAATCCTTTTCAGAATTTGACTGTCAGACGTCAGTATCAGAGCTGGACTTTATTGTCCATTATTACAAGTTTCAGGCCTTTGTAATTGTCTTAGACTTCATAATAATTCATGGCATTCCAGGCATTGCACATATGTTCTCATACATGTGTTTGAGACAGCAAAGTGAGCGTCTCTTTTCCCTAAAATTTTATTTAGAGAAGTGAGTTCCATGAAATACTGAAATTTAATCAAAAACATTTGAGCTGTTTTTCAAAAAATTGCAGGTTGCCCTGTAAAGTAACTAGAACATTCATATTCACCATGCATTAATCTATGATGGATAACTTCTTAAATACCGAATTTGAATGAAATCTGTCAAACTGTTTAGACACTAGATAGGTGCACATGAAAACACATAGACAAATGTAATTCCAAAAACCATTTCTTCATATTCAAGAGCGCTGAAAATATATAAATCTATTGTCAGAACCTTGAGATAATTTTTTTCACAATCACAGCACTAGCTCATACTATGTGAATGTCATCTATTTTCCATCCCTTTTCACTCTTCATAGTCATTCCTTGATGTCTTTCAGTGCTACATATGTGTAACCTCTTCAGGTGACACAGTGTCATTCAATAATCTATGTCCTAATTGGCCATTCTACCAGCCAACCTCAATTGCTGTTGGTTCCCTTCCCTGTTCATCGCAGTCTATGGAAATCGTGTCATTGTATTCTGTCTGAGAAGTAGAGTTGAATAAGAGCCTTTAGGAATTCATCTGTATGTCTGAACATTTTTTGTTTTGCCTTATATAGTGTTAATTTGCCCTGCTGTCTCCCATGTTCCTTTCCAGTTCAAAATGTTATTAAATGATACTTTGAGGCTGTCATTCAACACCATCACGTATGAATAATATACACAAATAGTCAGTTGTAAACAGTATTATATTGCAATTCATATATCTACATCAGAGTACTCACAGAATATACACGATACACCAAAACCAAGGACTGCTTGCTCATTTGTGACCTCCATAACACCTGACAATTCATTGCTATGCCAGCCACAAAATTTCTTAATAACAGTGGCAAATCTCATGCATCCAAAACTTTTTTAGCATATTTTCCTTATTTTTAAAAAAATAAAAGGCATCTTATGAGATCACCTTGCTGCCTGTGTTTCTGTGTATCCCCCCAATTCCTGAAAGCCAGAAGTAGTCCTGTTTGTATAATTTAAGGGCATATAGCAGAGAGAACACTGTGTCCAACAGCTGGTTGCATCTTTTTTTATGCTGTCCATTTTGTATCAAAGGAAAGTAGGTGATTCATTCGTCCCACAAGTTTGTTTCTGACTTCTAATTGGGAGGTGCTGAGTTGAATCTTGGCCAAGATAATGTCTATCCTGATTGAACGTTTTCACGGTTTTCCTCATTCCCTCCAAGTAAATGCCAGGATAGTACCTCAAATTAGGCCTTGACTCCTTCTCACAACATGTTCAATTCATTATTGACCATTTGCAGTTTTAGCTGCTAACAGTGTTATAAATAAACAGTGAGTAAAGTTATCCCTGTAAGAGGCCATGGAGGCCCCTAGGGTTGTGAGCGGTTGAGGCTCCCACATGTTCTAGACAATCAGCTCACAGAGGGTGGTGAGGTTTTCAGCCTTGTGCACTGGCTGGCCCCTTACTCCAGGAAGATTCATGGTACTCATTTCTGTTAGAGGCTGAGTTGACCCCAGGGCCACGGTGTGTCTGGAAGGATTAGGTCAACTGAAAAATCCAATGATTTTATCAGGAATCGAACCCATGACCTTCCAGCTTGTAGCATAGTATCTCAGCCAACTATGCTACTGCATGCCTTAAATAAACGATGAGTGCAGACAAATAATACAGCAGTACTGAAATGACTTTAAATGATAAACCCCGAATATACTCGGCATTCAAAAACTTAATGGAAAGGCAGATACAGTGGAGCTACATGGTTTAGCGCCAGAATGTACCAGAAATTGTTCATGTTTCCTAATTTGAATCCTTTCTTATTGTAATAAATGTCATTTCACTTACATTCTTCAGTTTAATTTTCTAAATTATTTATAAACCTCCATCAATATGACCACGGACTGGTACAAGGCAGGAGTCTTATGGTTGGAAACCACAGGTTTAGCTTCTGTACTTTAAGGCAATGCTTGCCAGTCATCTCCTTTCAATTATACATGAAATGACTAACAGGCTTTTTAAATAACTACTTAATATTGATGTAACTGAAGAGTACAGTCTTCTGGAATGTGACGCCTTGTTACATCCTAGGAGGTAGTCACTGTTGTGAGAACCTCATATCTGACCCAAAATAACAGGTTTTGCTGATCACTATTTCTGCTCACTAGAATAGCTCGCAGCCATGAAAGTACATATAATTGTGTTTGAAACGTCTTTGAAGGTACGAGTATGTCGTCCTCATCATCGGATAATGCCACAGGTTATTCTGTCATCATTAGGAATATGCCAGAAACCAGAATTACCATATCAGAGATCTTGCTGAACACACATCTGTTTTTCTGTAAGATAGCCTAATCAGTGTCTGTTATGCCCTCAGATATGTTTTAGAACAAGAAGTTCTGGGGAGAACTAATTGCCTACTTTCCTTTCACTACATACTGAGTATTTGACATGACATGGACTACATGTAAAACACTGGGTCAAACAGTGCTTTTATGATTGTGTGTATGTTTGATTGTTGTCATGGGAACGTGTTTACCAAGCCGTTTCATAGCAACAACCATCTCTTCTGGCTCCACTATATGTGCTTACTGGCTTTAGGGGAGACACACAGTTAGCAAAATGATCTCATATGCTTCCTTTTATTTTTCCAAAACAAAGAAAGTAGTATAAAAAAAGTAACCATTCATCACTCTCTGTGAGGTTCCTTCTTTTGAAGATTAGGGTTTTCTGGGATTTGGTGCCAAGTTGCTTGGAAGATAGGTATGAGCATTTCAGACGAACATGTTGCATCCATCTTCAGGGTAAAAAAGCTAGTTAAGTTACTCTTCTTCCTGAAGGAGGAGGCACCAGGTTCCCCTGGATCTTTAGTAACTGTCTACAAAACTATGTGATGTCAAATCTCAGATGATTGTTATCTTAATATAGTGAAAACCCACTTTTATTGTTCCATAATTTAAGATTTTCCCTTGTTTACCATTTAGTTTTACTGATCCCAAGTGAATACCTCTGTGTTATATTACATACATTTAAGATTTTATTCAGTTCAATGTTCAGGTCCGTTAGTCCCCAAAGAAACCAAAAATAGGGTGCTAGATAATCAAAATCTCATCCTTGTTTTACAAGATTTTCTCTCTTTTCCTCCTCCTGTGGATCAACGTGACCACCTCCATTGCATCCAGGAAGTACAACCCAAACAGTTCCTCACCCAGCACACTTTGACCCTAAAGATCGGAGTAGCATATTTATCAAAAATCTGGTATCCATGTAGAAGACCACATTCTATTGCAACTAAAAAGACAACGGTCTGAACTCATCTTTATACGTGTGTGATCACTTTCCTCTTCCAGTTTATATATAAGAATTATGTATTTTTTTATAGATTGGTGACCTTGGGCCAGGAACCTATAATCTTACAGCTCGTGGTATAAATGGCTTGGAATTCATAAATACTACAACACTTCATTATGTTCATAAGAGTCACTCTGTCTTTATTCAGACTGATAAAGCTGTGTATAAGCCAGGACATAAAGTTCAATTCCGAGCCTTAATACTCAATGCACATCTGAAACCAAGTGTCACAGGAGCTTTGGATGTATACATAACTGTAAGTAATTTGAATGCATAAGAAACATCTGCTGGACACTCTGCTTGAAGCATCTTAAGAATAACATTCGCTGTCAAGCATTTAAATGTCTGTTTAGAACAATGGTCCACCAGGCATTAAGTAAACAGATTAGCACAAGAAATCTTCAATTAAGAAACCAATATTTGTATTAACTGTATGCCTAAAATCTATAAATACTTTGATTTCTCAAAACGTTCTCTATGATCTGTGAAGGAGTATATCGATTTTATGGCATATGTCATATGTAAGATAAAACACTTCTGAATGTTGAGCGCGGAATATGCTGTCATTTGCATTAGGAAAGTCTACTTACATGAACAAAACTCTCAGTGTTTCCATAATATTTTCAGGAGTCCAGGGATTTAGTACCATAAAATAAATGTTAATACTATCTATGTTTTTGTTTAAATTTGCATACCTGATTTCTATGCAGTTGATGTAGTAGCTGATATTGTGTATGTCCTTGACTGAAAATTTTGTGTGTTAAGTATGTTCACTGATCAGCTGTACAGTTTAAGGCATAAAGTGTCTCAACCCACCCAAACACTGGGATTGTGGGCTCAGATACCACTCTAGGCATGGATGTCTGTCTGTGGTTTTCTGTGTTTGTGTTCTTCTCTGTAGGTAGTGGCCTTGTGATGGGATGATCACCCATCCAAGGAGTCCTGCTGACTGGCCATGTAAAAAGTAAAAGTAAAGGTATCCCTATAACAGGTCGTGGAGGCCCATAGGGTTGTGAGATGTTGAGGTTCCCACATTTTCTAGACCGTCGGTTCACAGATGGTGCAAGGTTCTCAGCCTTACGCAGCGGCCACCCTTCACCCCCAAGAACATTCCAAGAATATTCCTGGTACTCATTTCTGTTAGAGGCTGAGTCAACCCCAGGGCCGTAGTGCGGCTGGAAGGATTAGGTAAATTGAAAAGAAATCCAATGACCTCATTGGGATTTGATCCCGCGACCTTCCGGCTTGTGGCATAGTGCCTCAACCAACTACACTACCGCGTGCCCCCTGGCCATGAGATTCATAATTCAGGATTAATTAATTCGGAATGGGAATGAGAATTGGCATCACTGAAAAACATGTACATTGCTTTAACACTTGGCTACTTACTGTACATGTAAGAAAGAGCATGGAATACATTTTTTAATGTCTCTTAGGTCCTCAGTGAGAACCAGTAGACAGACAAACTGGGAACAGACAACACTTCTGTATACACTAGATTCAAATTGTAGTGATTATTATACAAACAGATTATTGTAACATTAGGAAACTCTGCAGTTTGCTCACACTGTATTCATTGTTTTTGTAAAGTTCTTGGACTCTATAGCTATTACTCCTCTAGACAACATTAACCAATTGACCTTTATAGTAGAGATGTGTCATGTTTTCTGCAAGGCTATTTTTATGAACTTCAGGCTTCAAAGCTTAAATTAGAAAATCGTTATTTTGAACTGTATCATTTTATGTGAAACTAACATTTTGTCACAAACTTCACACACATTTTTTTTTCTTGGCACTACAGCCCCAGTGGGCCTAGGCCTACCTCCATGAACTTCTCGGTTCATTTCGGGTTTTCTAGATCTTACACATTCGGTAGGACTCCTTGGGCGGGTGATCAGCTCGTTGCAAGGCCTCTACCTGTATGCAAACACAGAAAACTCCACACACACAAACTAAACATCCATGCCCTGAGTGGGAGTCGAACCCACGATCCTGGTTTCCAAGCGAGCGAAGACAGTACATGCCTTAGACCGCTTGGCTACCATGACCGGCTCACACACATTTACCTTACAAGTATGTGGTGAGAACATGTTTACTTGTAGGATGGAAAAGGAAACAGAGTGAAGCAATGGAGCCGTGCCCTAACAACAAAGGGAGTTTTCTCTGGAGAGTTCCAATTATCTCAGTCCCCTGTCCTCGGAGACTGGAACATAACAGTAGTAGTGATGGATCAGTACTTTTACAAGACATTTCAAGTGGCAGAATATGTGCTGCCTAAGTTTGAAGTTACAATAGATGCACCAGCGCATGCAACCTTCAAGGATTCCCATCTTGTGGCGACTGTTTATGCCAAGTAAGAAATGTTCTTATGTCATTCAGCATATATTTACTTTAATAGCCACTTTCTCTTCATAGGGCTTAAATTTCTAAATTGTTCCTTAAACAAATTTAAAGATTCATTTCCTTTTAAGAGTGGTAAGTTTCAAACATGGATGCATTCCTCCTCCTGAACAAAAATATTGTTTTCCATGCCTTTCCCTCTGTCTTGAAATAATGGTGATGATTTGAATTAGGAATATCTGTGTTTGCTTCTCTGACATTTCTTTGAAGTTCCCTTTGTGGTTGTCTTATGATCCCATAAGTGTCTTGAAGTAGAGAATCAAGTGATGGAGTGATCAGAGAATAATGAATTGCACAGGATTTGCAAGAAGGCAGCCATTCCAGTATTTGTATTTAAAGAGTGAGAAAGATCATGGAAAAACATTTGTGAGCATATAGACTGAGATTTGAACTGAACACTCCCCAAATACAAGTCTAGAGCAATACTTCAACTTCAAACTGCTCGATTCCATATTAAAAAATAGGTGAAGTTTCTTTGTATATAATTGAGCACTTTGTCCTGAAGACATGGGGAGTGGATGTAATAGCTCCATACATTTGTAACCTTGGCAAGTAGTTGGGTCATAGTTTAATGCACAGGGGATTAGGAGGCTCCCGGTGACAGTATAGACACTGGAGAAGAGAGAAATCTCTTGCTGTTGCTGAGAATTGAAATCTTATTCCTTGGTCATCCATCCCATACCTTAGTCACTACCCTGAATGAGCTAGCCCAGCTTCTGTTTAAAGTTCTGTGGAGAGTAAAATTTTAAAATGTATGATGATGAATCTAGAACCGACAGATTCAAAAAAATATATGGAATTTATCACTCTTAGTTCTTTTTGCAGCTCACTGTATGTTTCTTTAAATTTCTGAGGTGATCAGCCATGTCAATGTGGAGATAGCATTCAACATTTTGTTAGGTATGTCTGTTAGCATTATCAGAGGTTGATGTGAGGAGTGTCATGACCAAATGTTGTATTTACCCACAGAGAACATGCTGTCAGCATTCCCACCACATATTGCTTAGGGAGTAATGATGTTCTGTCTCAGTTTAAATTGGAAAGCTAATTTTGAAACACCTTGCTTTTGATGATGTTTTAGAATTGAATATGTATGTTTTCTTCATTAGATACACTTATGGTAAAGCAGTGAAGGGAGAAGCAACCGTGACAGTATATCCAACGTACTACTCAGGTTTACTTCAACCTATCTTCCAGAATCCAGTCCGCAAAGTTGTACCTATTGATGGAAAAGCAAACGTTGAATTTGATATTACCAAGGATCTACAGTAAGTATATGTTATTTGTTAACACGTTGATACCAAGTCTCGGCAAAGGACCATCTGCTAGAAATGTCAAGGCTGCTTGAGGGTAAATACAGCTGAACAAGGAAACCCCACAGCATTTCCTCAAATGATCTTCAAACAACCACAGATATACATCATGTGGAAGCATTTCTTTTGCTCTACAGTGGTATTTCACATTTTGTGCCATATATTGAGAGAAATGCTAAACTAATTGATTGATAATGAACCAATCTCCTTGGTTGTGATTCTTCTAGTGCAGTTGTATGAATGTATAAGGGGTGGACCTTCTCAACCCTTGCACCACGACCTACAGTGGTCTATTGTGCTTTTCTAGTGCAGTTACCCTGAACTGATCTAACTAGCTCATGGTGTTCAAAGGATTGATGTAGATAGTAATTGATAGAATGTCATGGAGAGGTTGAACTGTGACAGTAAATTTTATATTCCAGGTTGGGAGAGGAATATGAAAGATCAGTACAGATTGATGTGACTGTAGAAGAGGCTCTCACAGGCAGACGCCAGAACACCACATTTGAGGTTATGTTGCACAAATACAAATACAAGATGGAGCTCATAAAGACATCAGAGTACTTTAAACCTGGACTCAAATACACAGCGTTTGTAAGTGTTTACTGCTATATATATTTCAGTATTGGATTGTTGTTATTAGATGGTAGAGTTAGTGCCACCGATCTGTAAACATTACCTAAGATAATTTTCATTTCATGCATCCTGTTGTGTTATAATATACAGTTTCTTTGTTAAAACCATCACAACACAACAATATTAAGGTCAGTGCCTATTTTGGCTCTGCTACATGTTTCAGCTATTCATAGCCATCATCAGGCAAATACATGGCTAACATATATTCACCACTGAACTGCAGTACTAATAAAATTGGTGCAGTTCAGTGGTGTATATATGTTAGCCATGTATTTGCCTGATGATGGCTATGAATAGCTGAAACATATAGCAGAGCCAAACTAGGCACTGACCTTAATATTGTTATGTTGTGACGGTTTTAATAAAGAAATTGTATATTACCTAAGCTATATCTGTAAATCACACAGTCTCAGACTACCTTACCCAAAAATATTGAAGCAATCCAAGCATGGCACATAGTCAATATCAGTGATCACTTTTACCATCCACCTGCCAGTTGGATAGTAGAAGGTGGTGGCAAGTATACCTTGCATTTTTAAGATACATATTTTATCCAGAAATATGCAAAATTGTTGCATATGCATCCATTTTAACTGATCATTTATTTTGTATAATAGCAGTGAATATCCTCATACATCTGTCATGACCTGTGTTTGGGACAAATTTCAGCAGACTATGTGAGACTATAGAGTACTGTCTTCTGGGATGTGACCCCATGTAGTCTGGTATAAGTTCACCAACACTTCAGGGCTGTAGAGGAGACAAGCAAAAACAGCTACATGCAAACAGCACGCAGTGCTTGCTTGTCTTACTCTTTCATCCTGGAGATATAGGCAGTACAATCCTCTGAAACTTTGGTGAACTTCTATCAAACTAAATTGGGTCAGATCCCAGGTAACAGTTTTGTTTATAGCCACCACCGTGACAACCACAAGTCCAGTTTTTTTAGATTATTAATCAAGTTTTAAAAGTAGGAAGTGTTATGTGAACATGTGTCCCATTTGTGATGCATACAGTTGTGGATATTAACACTAATGGGAACAGCTGGTACAGGTATCCAGGTATGAATGAATGAATGAATGGGCCTTATCCAGTCCATGCATGACAACCATCAGTGGTCTGTTGTGTGTGTCCTTCTGTCCAGCCCTCCAACAATTCTACATTTTGAATGAAGGGAAGTGCCTTGTTTAAAAGGGCACCTTGGTAGTCACCCAGTTCCATAAAGTAGTGTTCCAGGCGATGAAATCTTAAGGAAGATATAACCTCACAATCACATAGGATATGTGAGACTTGTTTCACATTTTACAAATACCTTTCACAAATGGGATTGCTGGTTAATCCCAATTTACATAGGTATCATTTCAGGTGAGTGCCCTGTAAGTACTCCTGTCACCAACTGTACCTGGCTTTTATTTAATTTTGAGCAATTTCTTTGGGGAGCCAGGATAGCATAGTCAATATAGTGACTGGCTACATGTTGGATGAATGAAGGGTCGGCAAGTCCCAGTACAATTAAAAAATTTTGCTTCTCAGTGTCGTCCAGACTGGCTTTGGGGTCCACCCAACCTCATATCCAATGGGTACTGGGGGCTTTATCACCTGGGATAAATTGACTGAGGGATGAAACTGACCACTCACCTCCAACTACTGCTGAGGTCAAGGAAATATGGATCTATACAGCCACTCTCCCATGCACCTTCATGGCATAGTGCTTAATTAGTTAAGCACAAGGACAACTTTACCTTTTACCCTACTCCTTCAGGCAGACAGTTCTTGCAGGAAGCCCTTTGCCTCTTTGAGTCTGTTAAGTATTTCCAGTATTTTTTGTGGCCGTTGCCCAGCCCCTGGCAGCCTTCTTGGCAATCTCCACTAAGATGCTACATGCTGGTTCAGTTCCTGAAAATGGACACTGAGCAAAATTTTGCCGATTGACCAGTTATTTAATTACCTTGAATACCCCTATGACCCAGCAGCCATATCAGTTGAACTGTTGTTTGTGTTCAGCTGGATTCATGAGGGACTGATGGTAGTCCCAAACCAGTTTTGAGTTGTTCTAATGACTGTCCAGCGTTTTTAGTATATAAATATTCTTAATCCCATAGACCTTCTCTGCATTCTCTACTGCATATGGCTTGATGGCATTCACTATCTGAAATACTGTGGAGTATTGCCCAAGGCATTTTTCATAATACCATATCTGAACACCCTAGTTCCATTACCTTATTCATGTACTGCTCTGCCATTTGATACTGTATGATCTAGCTACTGGCAAGCATTAAATAGCCCACATAAAAGTTAAAACATGTTGAGTGACAGTAATTGCTATAAGTTGTTTATTACAGTTTCGTGTATATGTTAATGAATGGGGACAGTATAACATTTAAAAACTTTGTATCTTTTCCCTGTGTATGCTTTCAGGTGAAACTTACATATCATGATGGCACTCCAGTGCAAGACATGAATAATCCTGTTACAGTGAGATATGGTTACACATTTGACCATAATGCATATACTGAAGAGAAGCACAAATTGTCAAAAGATGGAATGGTTACGTTAAATTTTTATCCCCCATTGGAAAATCAAACAGTTCTTTGGATGGAAGTGAGTAAAACACATCACATTATTTGTTATATGTCTATAGATTTATTCCTGAATAATTAAAATGGGTATTGTCACATGTTTATGGCCCTGTGACTAATAATAACACGTTTTGGATTCTATTTATTAACACCTTCTTTTACAGCCTATTAATCAAAATCAATTACAACAGCTCACGATAAATGCCTGCCTAGGACTCGCTCCATTCTGGCTGGACTACGACTGACTTGTGTCTTCTAGTCTGTGACTGTTATGGTTCTGCTTTCTACTGCGACTGATTTTGTTGTTATCGAATGGCCTGTTATGGTATCCTAGGAAATGTTTGTCGATTACTTTTATCCATGGACACGTCTGTTGATTTCACAGCAGTGAGCTGGTTTCCAAGAATCTACATCTTTCATTTTTGTATTCCAGGAAATGTGTTCATCCACTCATTTCATAGAAATGGGTCTACATGTCATATTATTAATTTTCAGTCTTTGGATGTGAAATTGACATTTTCTGGAGGCAGATATTTAATTTATTCACTGATGACTTAAAATTTCAATTTATGTTCCCCAACATACTCGTACAACATACACCCTTGATGCATTTAGAGAGTCAAGATTCTGTAATATGGTGCTGTCATGTTCTGAGGGACATAAGAACTGTATGTGAAAGCTGTCACAGAAAACAGGGAAACATCAGGATATAATACAGAGTGGTTGAAATGTCTCACAAATAATACTATTGATTTACTTTTCATGCAAAAATATAGCCTACAAAATATCTATACAAATATATATATATATATATATATATATATATATGCAGTTACATTACAATAGTTTAATATAGTGTTGAGTGCATGGCCTTGAGATTCCTACTGTTATGTCACATGTGTTCAGGCCCCTGACAGTGCAAAATCCTGGACTGTTCAGTCAGTCTACAAGGTGTGTCCCAAAAGTCATGAAATATATTTCTTTCCCGCGCTCCTACTGGTCGGAGTGCGCTGGAACCGGTTGGGTTATGGGGGGGGGAGACCTTTAGCTTCACAGCGTGCCCAAGGTCAGTCTCCTCAAGCATCGGAGGCGTCAGTATCGCTGATTTAGTGCACCTGTGTTTTCTGACCACGTCACGGCGCACGATGGAGGATACTTTTGAACAACATTGGGCGGTCAAGTTCTGCACAAAGCTCAACAAAAAAGCTGCCAAAACTCACGAACTGCTTAAGCAAGCCTACGGGGAGTGCCAGAGTGCTAAATGGCACACCTCAGCTTCCCCGAAATCGAAGAAGGCGAAGATGAGCAAATCCAAAGTGAAAACAATGCTCATCGTCTTTTTCGACACCAAGGGTGTGATCCACAAAGAGTTTTTACCCCAAGGACAGACCGTCAACGCTCCCTACTACGTGGATGTTCTAGAAAGATTAAGGAAAAGGG